TCTGTTTTTTCAAGGACTGAATCTATAAATAATTGAGCAACTAGTTAAATAGATTATTACAAAAATGGATGGTACATTAAGTGTAATCAGACTGATTATATGAAATAATTAACTTTTTTAATTTCTGCTTATTTTAAAAGATACAGAAACATGGACAAAGAATGTTCTTTTCTAGTAAATGCTTACCAAGTTATACAGGTTGAATTTCAAATGATTGATGTGAAAGAATAACAAGGTTAATGACAAAGGTATTATTAAGTAAAAAATAGCAATATGTAAATCAAGGATAACAAACTAAATCAGTTTGTTAGTCAGTCAGTCAGTCAGTCGTACGTACGTACATCAATTCGAATCGCCATACCAAATAAGCACTGAGATGCAGTTGTCGATTCAAATCCCGCAGTGGTAGAGGTAGTAAGAGTATAAGCAGTAATCCGAAAGATTAGGGTTTGAAGACATTATTCAAGGAGTATAATCCAACGAAATAAATTTGTAAAGAGAAAAAAAGGGACGTGAAGAATTCAGAAGATTAGAGTTTTGGAGAAGTCAAAGAGTGGGTGCACCTGCGCCATTGCAATCGATTTTGAGCCATGTCATTCAGTATCTCTAACCATCAGTTGTTATCATCTCGCGGACCCCAACCAGATAGTCTACACCTACCAACATGGCTCAGTCCACTTGTCAGTGACTTCATGGAATTGTGCCATGTTTTGGTCTGGGCGCCCCTGGCTTTCTTCCAACCTACACCCTAAAACACTACACTTCGGGGCAGTCGGTGGTTTGTAAGTGTCAAATGACTAACGTGTAACTCATTCACCTGAGTCAGGTTCCAGGTCAATTAATAATAAATATAAGCGTTGTAGTTTGAGAAATACAATGATCATATCAAATATTTAACTAGCGACTGTGTAACGCATCAAATGATTTGACCAAGAGGTGATAGTGGTAGTAATTATTCAGTAAAATAAAATAAAATTAATAAAATGTAAATAAGAAAGTGTATTGGATCATATAATTAGGATGGTCGTTGACTTATTGAACTCAAGTTAAAACGAAGTATGAAAAGAATTGGAATCTCCATCTTCTGGTTATAGATGCTTGATAGTTTTTTTAGTTAGATGAACTACTGTTTCAACAACAGTATACTACAAACCACCAATTATAATACAAACGTCATACGGCTGAATTAGTTAGTGACTTTGAAACAATAAGTGTTGAGTTTAAATCTAAATGTGAGCATCAACACTGTGATGGTGGGACATGCAACTAACGAATCACAGATAAGACGAAACACGAGTTCTGAATTCTACTGTTAGTCACAGTACATCCGTTCTATTGCTCTATCCATTTAAAATTCTCAGATATGGACTGATTTCGGCGGATTATTCCAACAGAAAAATGTTGAAAATAGCTGGTATATGCTTGCTTTATGGTCCATTCAAATTAGACGAGCTAATCATACTAAAATGATGTGATGATCAAGAATTATGGATGCTATTCACAGGGTAAATCAATCGATTACCAGCTGGTTTATTTTAACACTCATTATACTCATGGTGATTTCTAATAATGTAGAATTTCACTTACACTACAGTCACATTAATTAAATTTAATTCTACTCATTGATTGTTTGGTTTTCTGATAATCACAGTTGTAGCTAAATTTTTCGTAAGCAGTCATCCTTTAGCCATCATTCCAACAATATATGAATTGACTGATTAGCTAAATTTCTCACTAAATCATTAACGATCAAATATTTTATCGACAATTACCAAAACTTGTAGTTGTTTATTCGTTTAGAAATAAAAAATACCTTCAATTGTTTTCACCTGAATAGAAGAGACTTTTGAACAAAAGGTAAGACAAATTTTAACAGAGAGAATTTCTTTATATATATATATATATATATATATATATATATATAATACTGACTTTTCAGTGATTTATGTGTTGAATAACTGATTTCTATTAGTAATAATCAGTAATAAAAGTTAATACTACTTTTTTACTACTAAATAGATTTATAAAATAAAGACTATTGTATTCTGACTCAGTAACTGCCTTATACTCGTACTGACTAATCGCAAGATTAAAATATAACACGTTTCGTTCACGTATATACAGTCACAGACATATAATAGTGAAAAATATCGTTCTAGTACAAAACAGTTGTTGAATTCTTTCTTCGGCTTGAAACAAACTAGAAAACGATTCAACATGTTTTGTGAAAAAGTGAGATTTTGATATGAACCCGAGGAAATCTGTTATTTTATTTGCGAATCATTTAGGTTACGAAGTAGAATAATGGATACTGAAAAATTAACATTATTTCGTTATATTTAACCATGAGACACAAGCACCGAAGAGTGATTCCCTCATGAAAAACTAACATTCAAGTTACTTAATCACACTTTATTTATAGTTGAATACATATCAGTCAAGATGTTACTGTAATGAAAAATCAAAGTCTTTTATAATAGATCAAATGCTCCATCTGAGTGACAATGATATGTCGGCTATGACATTTGATTAGTCTGGCTGTGTTCTATATAACTGAATTATGCAACATTGATATCAAGCTTCCAATACCGGGTTCTTTGATATGTGAATCGCTATTAAAGACAACACTATTTTGGTGGATATAATAGACTTAATAAAGCAAAGAAGTTGGTAAGAGCGAGACAGATGAGTTGGTCTGAGCCAAACGTGATGAGTAGTAAGTATACATGATGGGCTATAGTTGGCAGCTTGCCTTCGGCCAGTTTAGATCAAGCTAACGAGATCAGCATGAGATATGGAATACATTGTGAAGTTTATTTCTGGACAATAATTACTCATACAAGCTTAATATTGTCGAAATAAAAGCTAATAGATTTCTATAAACAAATAGTTGCAGTCTATATTCAAGTGTTTATATATTCATAAAGTTTATTAAATCAGTAATTTTATGTAAATCTGTTATATTATCTATATTCCCCCTGTTATAAGCTTTATTTTGACTTATATATTATTATTGTACGATTTACGGTTCTTAAGTTATGTTCAGTTTATTGACTACTGCCTCCCACGTTAACAGCGGTATCATTACGTTATATATTAATGGGGCACAAAACCACAAACCATTAACAAAATCAATCAAAAACCTATGAAAAAGCTCAAAAAAGAACCGTATCAATTACCGAAAAATATTCCAAGTTGTTTATACCACTATTAGATAAAACAGAAACTTTACAAAATGTACTTTGTTATTACATTATCATACGTGTGCTATTTATGGGAAGTGTACTGACTCATAACTAAATGATCAATTTACATGGGTTGGTTTAAGTAAATATGGAAAGAATAAAGGACCATGATACCTAGTAAATTTGTGCTCTAGTTAAGTAAATATTTTAACACTTAACATGATCACAAATATGAAGTAAATAAACAAACAGGAATGTAACAGAATGGGTTTTGTGGAGGATGTAGTAATTTCAATAGTTGAGATCATGATTTAATTGAAGCTTCCAGGTTTTCCATGATGGTCTAGCTTCAATTTACTCATGATCTCAACTACTGAAATAGGAATGTGTCGAAGTGAAGTCTAAATGTATGTTTTAAAACTTTAGTTAGGTGACCGATTATTAGTAATCATAAATTGACTGAGTGATTGCAAAAATAGAATGTGACAGAATTGGGTTCAGTTATTTTTACTAGTAAAATTTAGAAAAATCGATGTTATCCACTGAGAGAGATTAATAATAATTAGCTGTTGTGTCTTTAAGTCCGGCTAATTATCACGTGACTTATCCACCACTCGGGATACGACTTATACTATCTTAGCACTGTACCAACTAATGACGTTAGACCGGTATGAGCGGCCTAGCATCCTTATTAATCCTTTGTTTTTCTAGCCCTTTCAGTTGAGTCCAGAACACTAACACCAGCGTACACTATGCGAGTTATTTATTTAAAACATACTTGGTTTATATAATAGCCTAACAGACCACATCACACCATAAAATAACACTTATACAGGATCAAACTAAAAGGTGGCCATGAACGTGGGAGACTGTAAATAATAAACTGAGTATAATTTAAAAGTAGTAAACCGTAACATAATAGTCTATGAGTCAAAATAAAGCTTATAATAAAAGGTGTAGATGTATGTAATCTAGTTACTGAGTAGTTATGCAATAATATATATATAGTACTAGTCCATCGATAATTCTTAAAAGTTACCCATTATTTAATCTTCACTGGGTTATAACATTAGCCGATTAACCGACCTATAGAACAAGCCCTGAAGTTTTGATGTTAATTGATTGAAAGTAACAAGCAGGAAACATTGGATCTATGTTTCTTATCACTTGTCATTGAAAGCAAAACTACAATTTTTGAAGAGCCGATTCTTCCTATGGAATTCAAACCCAAATTAATTAATGTTACAGACTAGGAAGTTACCACTGAGCAATTCACGTTGTGAATAGCATCCTTCAGGATTAATCGATCAATAATTAATCAACATTGATATGTTCGTTTAGTTACTTTAGTTCAAATCAAATACTATCAGTCTAGTTTGATTATTTTCAATAAAGGGAATGAGCTGTGGTGAACTAGAACACAAGTGTAGACAACCAATAATGTCTCATTACCAAAATTACAGAATCTCTTGGCGAAATATGAGAACCGTACATTGAATACTTAATTTGCACATTTCCATCATGTCTCTCACATTGTATAAGATTTTTTCGATTCACAATTACTTTCTAATCACGTTTCTTTTTTCTTCAAGTCGACCCTCATAGACTTCTGCTACCAGGTTTTTCACGTGCAATTGGTGTCACATACTACTTATGTCAACATATATAAGTAGCATACACCACAAAGCTACCTCAATAATCTCACTTTAACTACATACTATAACTTAATTCGTCGTCATTTTTAATAATTGTTATTTATTTATTTGCATCCATAAGGAATTATTATTTATCAGGACTATAAATTTCAACTATGTTAACTCATAAAACATTGTTTTATTGATTAAATTAAACTGGATAAATTATCAAGATAGAACAAATGATTGATGAACTGAAGTTGTAGAAAAATCCACCACTACATACACACAAAACAAGTACATTATGGAAGACGTTAATGTAATATTTAAAAAAAAACAAAAATACCATGTAAAAAATATAGTACATTAAAACAAAATGCAACAGGCTGATAAACTTTCAAAAAAAAGATACACCAAGCAAAACCTTAAAAATAAAGGAATACATGAATATATCTAAAGAAAACAGCGTTCAAATATAACCCTTTGAAGGTATTTACGAGAATGCGATCACCGAAAACAACAACAGTAGTAGTGATACAAACTAATGGTCTCTAATGTTTACTTATTGATACTCAGTTTATTCCATATATAGGAGAAAGAGGTGGAGAATACTAAACTACCAAAGTAGTGTCATAATATTTAAAAGCAAATCAGAATAGACAAAAAAGCTGTAAGAAATAAGAATAGAATAATAAAAATGATTAATAAGCAATAGGAGAAAATAGTAGTTCATCAAAGTCAGTTTGATGTCTATAAAAGACCAAATTATTTGAAAGGAGAAAGTCGCAAAAATTACTTTGAAAAACAGTTGGATCAAAGTTTTTATTCATTAATTATTCACAAAAAATAAATCTTCGAGAATTACCATCGTTAATTTTTTCGTTTGGTAATATAAATTGTATTTAGACTGACTGTCCACTTGTATACTGTCCTCGTCTTCGACGGAACAATCTACGACGACGACACAGGAAACGCAAACCAGCAAGTAAAATGACAGCTGCTAATATTGTAAGTACAACGGAAATAATGGATATTATTAACAGATCGGGAACTGGTTGTTCAGTTTTTAACTCCCTGTAATTAGGAAAAAACATAAAAGAAAATTAACAATCGAATTAGTCTCAGCTAACAATCATTAAACATAAAGATAATGTATTTAAATAGTTGAAAAGATGATTAACTGTAAAAATACATTATCTATTTTATTGTCCATAGTTTTAACATAATAAGTCACTCTTAGTAAACCGTTTACTTACTGGAAAATGTTGCAAAAGAACTAGTCAAATAACCAAGAAATGTAAATAACTGTTTACGCCTCAGAACTGTCGTCATTTATTACATCAGTCAAGTTGTTCATATACAGTTAGTTTGGTGTTGTAGTAGCTAAACAAAGTGACCTAATATAATATTTAATAATAATGAATTTCAAGCTAGGACTAAAACGTATTCAACTGCTTGTTTATTTTCAGTAGTCAACCAACCAGAATCAAATAAAAAAACAATCTACAAGCTTTATAAGCAAGGATGGATGGTGGCTAGCAGTGGAATCCAGTAAGCGCGTTTCGTCCTATTCGGGAATCATCAGCCGGATGTGCCCGCACACCAGACTTCATTTTCACTCCGAGACTCAAACTCAATACCGTTCGCTCCAAACGCCATCACGTTATCGACTTCACTACTGAGTCCTAATAGCTACTAGCTTGTGTAATGGAGTGAAATTTTAATCCATTCAAACAACAAACACAAGAGTGAATCAGATCTACAAACTGATCAACACTATAAACATTTGATTAGAAAAACAAACTTTAAGGAATCAACGAAAATGAAATCGAACAATAAATAATGACTTCACTTATATATTATTTCTGATAACATTGTATTTACTTGTAAGGATATGTACTATCCACTTGTTGACATTCAGGACTATAATTGATCAATCTCTGTTGACACTCTGAGCGTATGATACGATATTACCATCAAATAACAAGTCTAGAATACTTGGATTTAACTGCCAGCAACGATTTAGATATGCTACAGACTGACTGTATTTGTTGGTCTATAACTAAAAGATTTTGAAATAGATGTTATCGAAAGCCGGACTCACTCGAAGAATCAGCAACTCATTATCTCGCATTAGTTTTAAAAAGTACATGAATTAAGAAAATAACTCACACCGAACTTCAAACTGTTTGTTAGTTGTAAGGTACTTGTGAGTCAGTGAAATGTTTACGTTGAATGTACAAAAAAAGAATATACCGCTAAGAATCTTTGAATTGAAGTGAATTATTTTTTCATGTGCTGCCTAGTTCTCATTTTTCATACAGACGGTTTTAATGCAACCAACCCGAATTAAACAATCAATGTACTTATAATAATGGTTTATCACGGTAAAGGCAGCAAAAAAAGTACTTATACACACAGTCCAGGCTTTGTTTCATGAATGACAAGAGTTTCTTCTATTTGAATAAGTTGAATTTAAGGAAATTTTGATAGATTTGGATGAATCGTATAGATAATCTAGAAATCAATATGTGGATCAATGGAGTGATTATAATGGATTGAATGTTCAAGTACAGAACTCCAAACCTGTTTCTTCTTACTTTTGTAGAATCGAAATGGAATATTTTCTCGTATCGGAATTGAAAACAAACGCCGACTACAGCCTACGTGTCTTGCTCCACAAGAGCAGGGGTTGTTTACAACTCGGTTACGAGATCATACTCCATTTTGATTCTACAAAAAACAGAGGAAATTGGTTAGGAGTTTTATACTTGAACATTCAATCCATTATAATCACTTTACAGATGCACATACTGATTGCAAGATTATTTATACAATTCCTCCAAATCTATCAAGATTTCTTAAAAGTCTAATCTTACAAACCTATATAACTAAACACTCTGTTCAGTAATATTTTATTAACTTCTTACTAAGTAGTATTTATATAGAAATTAATATTAGATGTAAAAATAAATAACGACGATTAGTCCAATTACAGAAATTAACAACATCAAGAGACTAAACCTCAACCTATATCAAATACATAGATACATGTAATAACAATTACTACAAACCGCACAGCACTTTACGCATAGTCGGTATTTATAAAAACAATCAGTAGCACCTCTGAAAGCAATTGATTCATTTTAATTTGAAATAAGTTATTGGAATTCTTTCTTTTTGTCAAGAACTGATAAGTTTATCTACTGAAACGTTTTATACTTGTTTCGATGGTAGAGTTACGAACTAAGATATAGTTCTTTTACTCATAACAACGAAACAATTCATTAACATATTTCTCAACCATAAAATGTGAAAAGTTAAAACTAGAGGGTACAAGTAATGCAATTATGTAAATATGTTATTGAATGATCCGTAAGAAAAATCCGGTATTTATTTTAAGGCTTCATAGTATACAGAGGATTCAGTGTATTGTGAAACATTTTACACTAGTTGATAACATAAGATGATTGTGTCTGAATTAGAGACGAGACGTGTGGGTAATTGGGTGAGGGAAATGGGACTTAATTAGTCCGGTTTATAAAGTACAGTTACTCTTTAAATATTTTTGAATACCAAGATAGGTAAGAGATATTTTACAACCGAATCTCTCCCTAATCCTTAGGTTTGAATACTATTTAAAACAAAAGCTGAAATATATGAGTTTTTGTCCATTAAATAACATGGATGCTAAAATAACAAAACTAAAGGTTATGAAAACAACAAAGTTTTTCATATCACGACGTTTCCATTTTCTGTGTCAGTCCAACAGTGGAAATATAAATCAACCCAAGATGTTTTATAACATCATCAACAGCACGCACCGTAAAAAAGCATAGTTGATTATAGTTTATACAATGGTACTAAACCAAATAAAATGGATAATACTGACAGGATATAAATATTGTTACAACCCAAAGTTTAAAATAAGATCAGGAAATAATGTTCCAAATACAAAGAATATAACAACAGCCAGGGGTCGGTTTGGATAAATGTGTCCTAAATCTTATCAAGAGAAAGAATACAAACTTCTCCAATCTACAAACACCCATGTCTGAATGAAACTTGATTTCCTCGAGATTTTATTCACAAGCTCTCCACAGAAGTTGGCTGATTGTGGAAACTGAAGTTTTGGACACTGCACCGTTTAATATGATTGCACAGTACTTATTATCATAGGATTTATGTTCTTCCTCATAAACTGATATAATTAGCGATCGATGACCGTCAGATTAGAGTACCTTCACCTCTGAGGCTTTACTAGATATTTTTTTATTTATTATTTATTTGAACACATAAAACTGGTACAAGGGGGCACCAGATATATATACGCCACACAAATCTCATTTGGTTTTTGTGTGGGCTGTAATATTGCCTGGGTGCCCAAACCGAAGCAGGTGGTTTTCTTAGGGGGCCACACCCGGAGCCTCCGACCTAAAGGTCTGATCCACAAGGCAGTGAAACATCGTAAGGAGATGCAGTCCCATGGTAGCCAGTGACCAACAATTGGTTCATACTCCATTTGTTTCCTCAGGGTACTGGAGCCCATGTGCATCATAGGTTTGGAACCAGGGTTTTCCAACTCCCTTCAATGAACTCTCCGTGTCCTCCAACCCGGTTAAAGCGCCGGATTTTCGCTTTTCGTCCTGTCAGTTTCGTAAACAACAATCGCTACGAGAAGGCAGTGAGTAGGACTTCCCTGGAAGAGGCTATATACGCGTGGCCATGTGAGAGCATTTTGAGAGGGAGAGCGAATTCTCCCCACTCTCGGCCGTGCCAGGGCATTTGGGGGCACTAGATATTTTAGCTACCTTTAATGGTATTTATAGACCAACAAAGACCTCTGAAACAGACCTGTCAGATTTTAAAGCTCCCTGTTGTTTTAAGTTATTCTGCTAGATCGTAGTATCACCAACAAACCGAAATAGATCAAACTCTAAAAATAAGTATATTGATCTATGTAATTAACTATTTTACTCACTACAATTAACATACGGATTAATGAATTCATTTTATGCTGTCTCTGCCAGTATGGAACATCACACCTATTTAATGATCCAGTTGAATGCAAATATTATTTCAAAAACACACAGTATCTAATCATAATATTATATTGATGTCTCCTTTTAATAAATTTATTATTATTTTCACACTTTAAAATAAATATTGGCGATAATTATGAGGAACTACTGTACAGAACATAAAGAATACGGAATTTTATAGTCAGTCAATCAGTTAGTCAGTAATATGTGACGTAGAACTTGGGACAAATGCACGTCGGTTCAAGTTGTCACACAGAATCGGCACAGTGATGAGGTGAAATTATCATATTAAATTTGACAGCAATAAAAGTAGTAACCGAATTACTGGTAGAAGAGAAGTTTAGGTTTAGAAAGAAAAAAGAAAAGTATAAGAAAACTTCGGAACTCATGACAAAATTTTAATAATGCTCAAAATATCCCAATAACTTCTCTACATTAAAATTATTATTATATTTAGTCCACAAGATCAGTATTTTCAAGTAACTAATATATACTATTAAAAGAGATTTTCCTCCAGTTGATATTAAGAAAGGAATAATGACAGTATAACAAGAAAAAGAGTAATGAACAGTTAAACAGTAAAAACTGGAACGATCATTCAACTGTCATCATCATCCTGCTTCATTAAATGAACAAATCATCAAGAAATTGTTAATTTAAATAAAATCACACTTCCCTTACACATTTACGAAAACAAAAATGTAAATTCCTATAAAATGAAATAGAAATACATAAAACATATCACACTACATAAGATCTAATCTATGCATTTATTTTCAAATCAAATAATTTATCAAGAAAATGTCATTAATCTTCTCTTACTTACGTTTACCAAACGATGAAAGTAAACAGAATAATCAGTCTTAATTGATTTACAGCACTATGCGTGACTATCAGGTGTGTACTTTTGAATGCTACAAGTCATATGTCAGTTTGTTAAACTTTACAAATTATGTTTACATTTAACCTTAATAGATATTCTTATTTATGGAAAAAGGTATATATTCAGTAAACAGAGTAAGGATACAACGAAAACTACATTTCAATTAATGAATATCATGAAATAAAGAATGATCATTTTAGTGATTGAATTTCAGCATTTCAGTTTGATGGTGGTAAACAGTAAACTCTGCTGAACTTCCGCATATAGATCGCATAAATTTGGTTAGATGTATTAAGAAAATGAAACCACATCAATGAAAGACGAAAAGTTAGTCTAGACTGCAACATAAAACTCAATCAAATTTTTACTTACAGATAAAAAGAAAAAAACTAGTCAGCCATAGCAGGCTACTTATGTTGACAAATATGGGTGGTTTCCGCTCCCAGCTGAGATCTTGTTTACTACAATAAAACAAAAGTATTACCAAATTAGTTTTTTTATATTCTCATCCACTACTATCAATGAGTTGTTCTCGAAACCCTCATCTTGAGTTGACTACTCCACAAGTCAGGGTATTTTACAAGAACTTCATAAATTAATATTCTATTAAAACACGAATTTCAGCGAAGGGATCTCTTTTCAACGAATTTATTATCAAGCTGTACAATCGTATATATATGAAAATTTTGTTTTTGTAAAAGTACTAATTCCGTGAGGAAATGTGAACACAGTTAATAAAAAGGTTATAATACTAGATTACGTAATATGAATAATAACAATAACAATAGATTTAGTGATTATAATAAGATGATTAAAATGTTTTTGATATAATAATTAAAGGTCATAGAGGTGTACAAAAATAAACTGATATGATGAGCGTTCATGAATAAAACAATGAGAATATAAGACATAAGTAAAAGGGGAATGCAGTAATAATAATAATAACATTAATGGTAGGATAATCAAACTAATTAAGGCCAAGGTAACGATAACGATAAGACGTACTTCTTTTGTACGCATAGTTCTGGTTTAAGCTCCTGGATGGCAAGAGCTTCGGCTATTTTTAAAAGTTGGATACGAAGAAATCTGGGTAGATTTGAATGAATCGTATAAACAACCTTAAAGTCAATTTGTGGATCTGTTGAATGGTTATAGAACTCCTAACTGCTTTCCTTTCACCCTTATAGAACCAGGCTGGGATATGTTCTCGTATCCGAGTTGAAAGCGAGCGCTGGCTACGGCCAATGTACCTTGCTCCACAAGAGCAGGTGAACTGGTAGATGCATATGGAGGCGACCAGACGCGGAAGCTTATCTTTTATGGACACAGAAATTAATTTCCTACTAGTGAAGGATATTCGCAGTTTTGCCGCGTTAAATGTTCATCGAATAGTTGTTGTTAGACGGTTTTTGATTACATCCGATGTTCGGTCACCTTTAAATTCCAGACTTATATAAAGGTTTTTCTTTGGATGCTGAAAGCGTTGGGAAACATTTTGTCCAATCAGCGTTGAATAGGAGGATCTCAGTAACGTCTAGAAAGTGAAGAAACACGTGACACATTTCTCACTGGATGATTACCTATCCTGCTACTATGTTCAGTATGGTTCTAAAAACTTCCAAAACATCAAAGCCATACTGTACATAAACTGACCCTCGAGTAAAGCAATCTTTTCACAATTTGCCCATTTTCTCTCGCATTCAAGTCGTCCTGTAGATCAAGATGTGGTTATTAGAAGAGCTTAGGAAACCGATTCAAACGTTCAATAGAAGACTTTTCGATATCATGAACCTATGTGCGTAACAATAATCAACTCAAAATATCAACAAACCCTGTTATTATTATGACCATTGCTATTATAGATTATTTGTTGTAAGCACAAAATGACACCGTGATTATTCATGTATTAAGGCAAACTTTATGTACTACATTATCAAAACTGTCGCTTTTGATAAGAAAAGTGAAATGTCACGCTTTTCTTAAGGGAAAAGAAACCTGTCACTTTATATACGACTTTGTAAAGTCAAGTATATGGAAAACTTGTCAAAACATTTTCAAGCTTGCTGAAGTAATAAGACACACTATACATACATACGTTTATCATAAAAATATTGATTATACTAACGTGAATAATTTGATGCTGAAAACGAACACCCATCATGCGCCAATAATATAAGTATCAGTCAGTCACAAACCAAAGCAGGACTTTGCACATATGTAGATGTGTACAATGTCCTCGAACCACATTAGCATAGCGACAAGATTCAGTTATTCGGATAAATGCCACAGTTGTCAAATTAATTATAATATCGACAATTGTAGAAAAGATTCTACATAGAGAACATGATTCGAGAAGAAAAGGACGAATTTGTAGGATCAAAAGTATTAGTATTTCAAGTCCCACAATAGGACGAAACGGCCGTCCAATGCTTCCAGGTTTTCCATGGTGGTCTAGCTTCAATTGACTCATGATCTCAGCTATAGAAAAATGTATCCCTAGATATTCTTCTTGTAACCACTCATTTATAAAATCTATCCTCAATCTTAAAATATCAGCCACACTGTAGAGTTAATGAATGAAATTTCATAAGTAATATAAAAAATGATACTAACCAGTATTGATCAGGCTACAAACATGAATATAATTATTGGAAATAGTCAGATGACTTTCAATGTTTATCAAATATGAGATGAATGTGAACAAACAAGTGTCATTTTGGAAAATCATAAAAACAATTATATTAATGTAAGTCTTTTTTTCAAATAAATATGATATTTTAAATAGAATTAATATATAACTTGAATAACATTTAATAGCACCCTATAAATATGGTTGTCAAAATCTAATATGATTATTTAACTAGAAACTCGTAAATTAACTATGAAAACCCATTAATATCCAAAGTTAGAAAATATCAAGTTGATAAACAACTAAGTGATGTATTACAAGTATACTGTTAGTTTTTAATCCCTATACATGACACAACCTGAAAACGTTTGAACAATATAATCATTGGCATTGGATAAATTAATGATTATGGGATATTTCTAGTATTAAAGAGATCACTTTGTTGCATATTGCCTTTAAATAATTTAAATTAGGGTATTTAAGTACGTTTGCATTCATGTCATAAAAAGTGACTAGATGCTGATCAATTCTTCTTGGGTAAAACGAAGAAGTCACTGATATTCCAAACTTTCAAGCAGTAAGTGAATTTGAAAATCAACTCACAATAATCTAGTATCCATGGAATCATAACAGAAAATGATCATAACATAAACTTAATAAATCATAATTCTATAGTTGAAATCATCAGTCAATTGGAGCTAGACCACCATGGAAAACCTGGAAGCACTAGATGTCTGTTTCGTAATGTTGTGAGAATCTTCAGCAGTGCGCATCCACGATCACGCCTCGCGAGATTCGAACCCAAGACTTATCAGTCTCGCCCCGCGAGCGCCTAATATCTAGACCATAATTACTCATCTTCATGACAAAACTCCAAAGTAATCAGATTCACATATCTAATAACTTAACCTAAGAAAATTTTGTTTACCAATATCTATGCAGGAATAATTCCTTTTAATATAAAATCGTGATTAAAAATGGTCCGTAAAATGAATTTCTTAACAAACAATTACAAACTAAAGTTACTAACATCTAAATTAGAAAAAAAATAATTGAAAATATTTATGAAATAATGTGCAAAAATAAATGAACAAACGTGTTCATCGTGCTCTAAGGACAATGAAGACGTGGAAGCACAACATAACAGAAATAATTAAAAACTTTCTCTACATTAAACAGTTAGTAAAAACTAAAGGTAAACAGACTGATAACACAAACTGCCGAAATAAACCGTAATTATAAACTGAAAGTAAAATTTGTTATAAAGTGCTATCACAAAACCATGAAACCATAAAAAATAAAATAACTACAAGTGTGATTTCATGTACTATCTTATCCAAAAAACTTTACAAATGTTCATCACATGCCAAGCAAATAAACTGTGCAAGTGAAATAAATAAGTGCTGCTTTAACACAGTAATCTGTATTGGTTGATGATTATTTCATCCCAACAGAACGTGTAATACTGAAATAAGATAGAGGAGAGAATTATCTAAACTGAAATAGATTACTACTGAAATGATTTACGAATATCAGAAAACTTGGGTAACAGATACTTCATCAATGCAGTCAACTAGATATGTATCCGAAAGTTTATCCTTTTTAACAAATGAACTTGGAGTAAAAAAACCACTAACTGAATTGTGCCTAAATACTCTCTATACCTAACTTTGTCTAAAACTAGTTTAAAGTTTAATAAAGTATATTATTTGTTCGAAACAAGTGTTATTTCAGCGTTTCTCATCATATCACGAGGGCCGATTTTATTTTAAAGTATCCTCATAAGAAATAACTACATAAATAATACATCGATTCACGTCTATGACAGACAACTTGAGCATTAATTTACATATCCGACTGCATAATCGACTTTATAAGGTTTTATTTATCACATGCACACTGGCTAATATAAATCAACTACTTCAGTCTAGACTAGACTGATTGATAATTCGAAATTCTCACTAAAAAAGATCACGGTGCATAACTTAGTATAAACATTGAAACAAAATGTAGATTAATTATTGGGATATTTATACCATCTGAACAAGTAAAGTGTGAGTTAACTAACTAACAGTCAGTCAGTCAGTAACAACGTAGAACTTCGTACGTACGTACATCAGTTCGAGTTGCCACACCACATTAGCACAGAGATGCAGTTGTCGATTCAAATCCCGTAGTGGTAGAGGTAATAAGAGTATAAGCAGTAATCGGGAAGATTAGAGTTTGGAGATGTTATTTAAAGAGTATAATCCAGTGAAATAAATTTGGAAAGAGGAAAAAAGGGACTAACAAGAATAACACTGTTTAATTCCTTACAGTATAGACACAAAGTTGCCCCCAGATACGATTGATTTGACATATATAGTAGTGTTAAATGACAATTAAAAAGTGACCCGAAAAATATTTTGTATTAATATCATGTTTGTTTAGCTAATTATCAGGAAAAATGTGACTTTAAGCAAACGGAATTGGAAAAAAACTGGTGAGAGATGAAAAGAGTCATAAGTGAATTATCTAAAGTGTTGAAATCGTATCTAATACTAAACTGTATTCAAAGATTTTAGAACACTGTCTTAGTATCTCGTCTGATTTGGTGATTTATGGCTTAACTTTCATGTTTAACGACAAAATATGAAAATCGCATATATCATGTGACTACGCATTTCAATATTAGAATAAAGCTTGATTATTTTTATATATACCGCATAACGAATAATAACAAACGAAGTAGATGGGTCTGGATAGAAGTGGCCGATACTAAAAGGCTAACATATTTTAACATGTAATGATAAATAGCTTGAGTAATCTTGATAAAACAGTTCAATGACTGTATAAATAATAAGAAAAATATCATACGTTTGAAATAAAACCCTACTCTTTGAATGAAAATAAATTACTAGTCTGGACATTTTACACACTCAATTTAAAGTAAAATAGGATAGTGATTACCGAAATACTATCGTCATTATGTTACATTTCAGAAAAACAAGACTGACCAATCATCATATTAAAGTTTACCAGTTATATAAATAATAGAAACGTCATGATCCATCTTGACAATTACGAATATGAGCGCTAAACCAAATACTTCCAACAGTTAATAATATTGTATTGAATATCATAAGATGTTATTTTAAATTCAACTCTTAATTAACACGGTAAGACTTAATTTGAAGTTCAAATTAATCTTAAGGAACAATCTGTGGTCAATCATTGAATAAGTAGCGCTACGCGATGTGCACAATATTAGAAAATGGCATTAAAAGTTAAGTCAAACAATAATAATCATCATCACTGAACAGTCCATTTATGTGTTTAAGTCCGATAATCTTGCACTATGATGAAAGTAGTTGAATTATCACAATAAGTAAAATAACAAGGAGACTTACACAGCGTTAGTTATGAATACTGTAGGTAAATCCACGTACTTCCAAGATGATGCACGATATCGCTCAACAAGGAATTGAAACAATGATTCCTCGGTCTCTGGAGTTTTACCTAATTCCAATTCACCTGTTGAACTCTGTGACCAACAGGCAGGACATAAATAAGACGGTGGGAATTGAATTTTAGGTGCAGTTGGATCTTCTGATGGTTGACCAGCTAAATGTTTATTTACACGATTATGTAATATATTCAACCACAATACAGTATCTTTAGGAGTCTCTGGAGCTTTAGGTAAAGTAGGAATAACTGATTCATTAAGCACTAATTCATGTGGATTAGGAGTAACACGATTTTCCGGTAAGATAGATTCCCCTGGTCTTACTACGTTTGCTGTATTCAATGCAAAATGAAATGCACAATATGAGCATGAAAAGAACTGAGGGACGAAACGATTTAAAGCATGAGCGACTGAATCTACTTGATGGTCTAAAACAGAAAAACAAAGGACATTTCAACATTTTCATTTTGATAAGAATGAATTATTCAGACTGACTGACTGATTCAGACGTGAATAGTATACTTCATAATAAATATTTATATTTCGTCAAACCTATCAAAAACACTTATTTTATCCAGATTTGTAGAAAATTTCTGATGATTTACTGTAGAATAATATTACCCTCCTAAATACCGGAGTACAATACTTTTAATACTAGTTTCATTCGGCTAAAAATAATTTGGAATTAGTTAGAAACAATATGGAAGATATTATTAGTTAACTTTCACTGCTTCTACCTTATGAGTATACTAAGTGAACAGAAAAAATTCAAATTAACAAAACTTATTAATAATTTACGAGTTTCTTTGTTAAGTTTAAAGTCATGTCTTTTATGTGAGAACTAATAATCATACACTGCACTTTAAAGTTAATGTAGTGAACTTCAAAACCAAAGATTAATTTATATACTAAAGAAAATAACCTAATTTAGAGGGAAATAATTTTTAAGCAAAAAGATTAAAGCTTGAAATACATTTTATCTACTTTAACTTGGACAGTTCATAGATTGTACAACCAGTTCTCATACTGAATGTTTGACTTCCAGTTGAATCTACTAAGTGAGTTGCATTAGCATAGTTTTTCAAACGTTAAAGGACTTACCAGAATATTACATGTACAAATTATTATCAACTTACCATCTGGTTGGGTAAACTTAACATGTACAAATAGAATGCATTAAATTTATAAAGGCAAGACAAGTGGATAAAATCGCAACATTTATCCACTTGAAGATTTCGTACACTCAAACAATTGACACGGGGATAATAAAAAATCTGATTTTTAAGCATAAATTTTTATGATAGAAAATATAAATATTGACTTTTGAAAAAAAGTAAATTAAATATTAACCTGGACCGGAGGATGATAACAGATATTGCTCTACCGTTAATGCATGAAACAAAGTCCATAAACCGCATGGATATCCTCGAAAATGTGGTTTGCTTCCATTACATGCTATAAATGGTCCTTTATATGTAGGGAACTGATAGAGATTAAAAAAGGGACAGTAAATAAATTTCGTAATTAGGAAGCACGAAACGAATAAAGTTCATGTTACATCATAAGCAAACGAAATGAACAATTCATAATAATATAGAAATATAATACATTTTCTCTGATATTCTCTACAAGATAATAATTTCTTTTACTGTTAAACATCTGTGTAAATATTTTGTTAATTTATTTAATATGAAATTTAAGAAAGCCAAATAAGAATTCTAAGCACACACTGACTACATTAAACAGATGAATAGCTAATAACATATCTAAGTTGATTATATATTACAAACAGTACTTAACTGAACAATTACTAAATTATATATACTTCGGCAGATAACTTTGTTTTGACCTAACGTCTTGTTAGTGCATAGTTTTATCACCTAACTTAGCATTTACCTAGAAAAACAATACTAATCAAAACAGACCAGAAATTCTAGATTTCATTGTAAATTATGAATAAAATATAAAAGCCTCCATATTCTTCTTCAAGAATGAAAATTTTTTTAGATTTACGTCATTTTAATTATACCTAAATACCTAAGCCAATATTTTATCTGGCTTAAATTAAACAAAAAAATGATCTGAATTGTATTCATATCTATATAATCACGTCAGTTAGCATAAAATCAATTTTGGACTGGATAGTTATGTCAGAGAATCGATTTTTTATTTGGCCTACATAATTTATACTTAAACTGTAATAATAACAATATTAATAATAAAGTATACTGATATAAGAGTTCCAAAATTCTGTGAAAAATGAACTTTTCCTGAAATTCTATCTAATTTTCTCTGCATATTTATTATTCTCCTATTTTAGTGAAATAGCTTCTAATAAGAATATGAAGGAAGATTTGCTTTATCTACTGATTTACATATTGTTGTTTCTTTTTAAATATGAACCTGAAACGCGATCAAATGAAAACAAACGTTTTCCCTTTTCGAATATGTCTTTTGTTAGTCCATGAAATTAGGTTTTTCTGAACATAAATTGATAAGGCATAGTATCTAGCGGCGGAGGTAATACATAACGTGGAAATAAACAGATGCTGACAGAACATACTTGAATTCCTTCAAGATACGCAACCCATTCTTGACCCGTAATACTTGTTTTAGAATTTAACCAAACGGAAATTTCAGACAGGTGAGCTTTATATTCCTGAGAAGCCGGAAGAACCTTGAATCCAGAGAAAACGAAATAATTAAAAAATAATTAAGAGAATATAATGTTGCCCCTGTGTTATACATAATATTTATACTGTGGAAATCCTTTGAAACTTAAGTAAACAAATGTAGCCACTGAATTTTGATTCACTGGTGTTTAAAGCATGAAATTTTCTAGACTAATGTTCTAAAACATTGTTTGCCTACCACTTCCCGGAAATGAAAAAGAAACGCAGAACTTCATAAACAGTTTATTCCGTATAAAAAAATTTCTGTAAAGATAACTCGTTATTTATTTCTAGTGCCTCTATCCAAAGAAACATGGGATAATCATTCAGATAAAAACCCGTTAATCCTAATTACTGTGGTAAGGAAATTTTTCATTTATAATTGGATTCCCAAAGCGGAATAACTTAAATTGAGATATGGTAAAATATTCACTACTAAACAGTCTGTACATCAAAACCTCAACTAGGAAATATAACTTTTGTTGACTTTAGATTTGAGCAATAGGCGTATTTGATCGATTGATATGATCTAGGTCGAGAACATTGTCAATCATAATCCAGAAAGACTATCAGAATAAAACAAGAACAACCATGATAGTTTGTCGTCTCATGGCACTCAACCTAACTCAATCTCTTACACAAGAATAATTAACATTCGTCTATATTGATTTAAATAACTTCTACATCATGAAAATTCGTAACAGTAACACAAGTGGTCACTAGTGCTACCGTAATAGTGATAATACCATCATTTTGCTGCCAAATAGAATAATTTATTGCCCGCATTGTAAAAATTTTGCAGAAGAAATATCATCTTATGAGAATAATTATCATTAGTTAGTTGGTTGTGACCAGTTTTCATTATATGCGATAGGTACTGTAAAAATTAGTAAATTATTCATCGAAATTAAAAATTATTTTGTTAGTTTGCATAGAATGATCGGTCACCATCGTTACGCAAAAATAAACAAATAAAATAAATATAACTACTAATTATCAGTTAGGATCTGATACGCAGAAATGTATGAAATGTTAATAATGACGATTTTATGACAGTTTATATTCCAAAAGTTACTACATATGTACATACTTAGGACTTAAAAGTTTTTATTATCCAAATTTGATCTAAAGAGACATTCATGATTATGTATTGCATAAATCGCTGTCAATATTCAAAGATTCTTAATGTTGATCTTCGACAAAGATCTATTTGAGGTTTTCAAAAAACGGTCAAATTCAAGTCGCTAGAGTATGTAGTCGAAAATTTTGAGAATGTGAATCACACGACTGAACGAAAAGAAATGGTAGCTATTTTCTCATTGTGATTAAATCAAATGTACCGATAATAGAAGCTTTTACCAGATGAAAGATTATTTTGTGATAAAAACCATGGTCCATCATTTTCTAAATACTTTCTCCACCTGATGTTAATCTATGAGCAAAACAATTATTCACAGCATAATAGAATATGATTGAACTGTACTAAGTTGATAATTTCAAACTTATTGATTGATACTATTTTATTTGACGTTGAGTATTAGTAATCCTTCACTAATGATCAAAATTATGGTAGGACACCCAATCAATAGTACCATTAAGCCTCTAGTAGTACACTGGCTAATGCTGATTGACTTGAGGTAGATAATATTTCAAAAGAATGGTTCAAAAAGCAATAAGTTTGAGATTAGTATATGTTATTTAATCAATCAAAAATTATTTTCGGCAGGTTCACGCTTTTTAGAGCTGTAAAAATGTTTTTCAACAACGTAGGACGACCTGCAGAAAACACAAGTGGTAACACTAATTGTCGAAATAGATAATACAACACGCATTGATACAGTGAACTTAAACATATTTATTTAAAATCAATCGAAATAAAAAGTGAAGAAAATAGTGTGCAACCGTTCTGTCAATCTCCAGTCATCTGATAACTTTAATAATGTACGTCTTACACATAGATGGATGGTCAGTAGATATATGCCAATTATTTACAATATTTTGACACTTGTTGAACTTAAATTTCGGACGAAGTATAAATGAGCTTTAAATTGTATCACTATACTCTCATCAAGTCAATCCATGCAGTTCAGTGATTTCAACTTTTATTACCGAAAGACTTTCAAATGAGTTTATCATAAGAGTAATTTTTAAAATGTTAATGTCTGGACGGAATTATCTTGCATTACTGTGGTAAAAAAGTGTAAGAATTAAGAAGGCTGTTAGTTACTATTATTAAGTGAGAATGTTATTATTACAGGTTCATAGCGTGATGGATTATCATCAGACGGACAAACAACCATAAAGATTCGGTGAAAATAAATTTATTGAAGAAAAAAGTCATATTAATCACTGATACTCTAAAAAACAACTTAGGCCCTGTACAGGACTGTCAGACACGTAAGATTTGTCATCCTTTCTTTAGTGTTCAATTAAAATGTGAAATTTAATATTTTTGGGCATACACGGTTATTTTTAACACAAAATGAAGGTGTCCCATTACCTTTTTTAAAACCCTTTTCACTTAAAAGTGAAAAATAACCAAAACGTGAGAAGTAAACTAATGAAATTTTAGACTTTTATCCTTTGTGGAAGAATGATACTTAGAGTAAAGGAGATAATTACATATCATTTCATATTTACAATAATCACTTTATAAACTACCTCCAACAAATTCGATTGAAGCAAGAACAATATATATGGTAGAATAAGACAAATCAATTCATTCCCGATTTTTCTCTTCAGCTGCTTACAACCCGGGAACAATAGTAATAGTTATCTAGAAACAAGCTTATACTTCATATTGCTATCAATGAAGAATCATAGAATAGCAGCGATAAGTATGGAAGAATGTGTAAACTCTATGGGGAAAAACTTATATATACTGAAAATTAATCCGGTGAAATACGTTTCTAATTATTATAACGAACACTGTTTTTGGTTTAAAACTTACCTCATATAACATGTCCAAAAATTCTTTAAGAGCTTCTAAGGCCGGTCCCTCAATTTTATCACGCGCACCAACATCAGACTGTAGTAGCATACTCAGTGACCGATAGATATCAACCGCGTAAACCGGTGGATATTTAACTTGGATTGGTGTTGTTTTAACATCTCTATAACAAATTTTTTAAGAAATACTGTAATAATATATTGATCAATGACCGCTTAAAAAGTACCTCCACAATGTATTCAGCTGATTTATTTACAAAAGTATTATCAAGGAGAATCGACATCAGTTTATGACATAAACTTATATCCAAGTTTCAGGCTAGCTTCATCAAACCTTTTGTACAGAATAGTAAAATACAGAAAAAAGTATTTGTATTTCAGATGTGTTTCACTTTAAGTGCCTGTCGACAGTGAATTTATCACATGCAACGTTTACATGACATAAGACTACCTACATATAGGAAATTGTTAGATTCGTATATCTTCTTATCTTAGACTCCTTGTTCTGTGTTCGATTTTATTTACCATTAGTATATATATATATACTAGACGTTCATCCCCTCCGTTTAGGGACCAATTTGTTTGTAGTTCATGTAAGCCAATTACTTTAAAGTAGCTGAATCAGAAAGTGGATCTAGCTCTGATCCTATGCATTTCCATTTAGTACAAATAATTGATTAAAGACCATGTAATTTAAAGTTTTAGCTTTGAGAGCCCAATTATTCCAGTCAAACTCATAGTTAGCGATCAGATAATCCATTAAACCAACTAATCAGCACATCTGATCGGCATAAATAGGTTTTAATTGTTTTTTTACCCCCTCCCCCCAAAGGACTATTCTGTTCAAAGTGTCAACTTTAACATTGTCAAGTACATCTACTTGTCATTTTAATCCTAAGTCTCCAAATTATACCATAAAATTACCTCGTACCACTAATCTTTTTCCTCTCGAATCATATTTTTATGCTCAATCTTTCTTATTGTCATTAATGCTGTAACTGTGTCTACCACTCTAGGATTTGCCCTAACTTCATCTCGTTTCGCTAACAGGGTGTGGCAACTTGAAATGTTTCACATATGCACCAGGTTTTATGTTAAGTATGATTAATTGACTGAGTGACGTAACAAATTACTATCCGATAATAATAGGGTTTCCGACTAGTTGTACAGCAGTCACATCAAGCCATAAATTCAGAAAAATGTTCCACTTTATTCTTTCAAGACTTTACGAAACTAAGTTGGTTTTTGATAGGCATATGAACAGATGCGTAAAGTTAGCATGATTAGATATAGTTAGGAACTCACATTTCTGGCTGACTGTTTTCTTCCAACCTTGGTTCACTACCTGCGATTCGTTCAAGTACCATCCTAACCTGTTCCTCGGGACCCCTAATAAGTTTTACAAAAGTCAATATAAAGCAAAAAGTACGTAGACGCTTTCATATTATTAAACATATCTAACAAGATTGTCAATAGTAAACTATATAAACTTATTCTATTTATATAAGCTAAGGAAAATGAATACAATAACTTTTGTTACAACGGAACGAAAGTTTTGAAAATTGGGACTGATTTTTCGAACTATTAATAACCATAGTTTTGTTGTGTAATTAATTAGCAATTAAAATACTATATATATATTCCATTTACCATATGCTTTCAGTTAAACCATTAGCTACTGTTACACGAGTTACCATTCCTAATTCAATGCTACTCTATCACTTATAGTCTTTTCTATTCACAGTCACGATTGGTTTGTTTAAGTAAAAATGTTATTTTCCATTTTATGGTGAGTGGTGGTCCAGTATTTCTGTATTCAAACTACGTCTGTTTAAAATATAGATATAAAAAGCGGTTGGTTGCTACTTTTGAACTCAAGGCAGTACATCGAAAGGAGCTTGTGAATAGCAGACCATCAGAAGTTTAACTGCCGGCTCAAACTTGGTAGTACTGATCGTGCATGTAATCGGTCAATTCGCGGATACTAGGCTGTCTAGAAAATAGTAGACGCAAAATAAACCAAATTAAAATTAGGAATTTGTTTGACAAACTGACAAGTCATATTAGTCAGTAGTCTCAAAACATAATACTTTGTACGTTTGATCTGAAAATAATTAAACGATTCACGAAAAACTAAAAGGAGGAACGGCTACTATTTAAAACCAACCAAAGTACAGTTTTATGCATAAAAAATTAGGTTGGACATACACCAATATTGAAAAGGTTGTCTTCGTGAATATTCATCTGCTGAATGGCTTAGTTAATAGGACTTGGACTATTTGGATTCATAAATAATCAAATTAAGAAGAAATATAAAATCGCTGTCACACTTGTTACCGTGGTCCACTTAAAGTCAGAGCTATGGGCAAGCAAAATTAAATCTCAATATCGACTATCAGTTTCCCCAAGCTTTTAAACTTTCAGTGTCTCATTCAAGGAAAGATAAACAGTTTTAGGGAACCGTAAGTGAGTAACATTCTCGGTTGTTTTTTTTACTCGTCTTCTAGTCATACCAAATTATTGTTTAAAAATTTACCAAGATATGTATTTTTATGAAACTGTTCAGATTTATATTTGGCCTGTTAATGAAAAAATATTTACTAAAGAAAATATTATGACTAACGGGTCAGTAAATGAAGTGGTTCATCCACCAGTAATTTACTATTCTCTAATTAATGCTAACGTTTACACTGAACTAAATGGAGTTATTTAAACATTATCAACCCATTAATGTTTTAAGAAAAAAGTATTATAATAAAGATGTTGGTGTAGTATTTGATATTTATAACTAGCGTATTGATGCAAATATTGAAAATTCACAAAACTGTGTACATATTGATGTAAGAGAACTACTTACTTAACAATTACTTCACCAGAAAGACGATTCGTGACATCTATTTCCTTTAAGCCTGGTTTTACTACGCTTTGGATCTCTCGTTTTAGAAGGAGACTATAATCCAGTAACAGCTTTAAAGAAAATACAGTAAAACGACGACATTAATCAGCCATTGAGGATTTAAGACATTAGAACTAAAACATGTCTACCGAGATTGAGGTATTTAAAGTCGGCTACATGTTTGGATTATTAACTTTTGACATGTAGCATCTTAAGCTAAAAATATGAAAAACGAACTACGACTGATACCTAGATAAACCATACTAAAGTTAATAATCCACTATTGTTTAGAGTAAAACTGTCATTTCAAAGTCTGTACTTAAGTACATACTTTAACACAATCACTTTACAAAGTTTAGCACCAAAATCCTCCAGAACTTTTTCTCACTAATTACCAAAGTGTATAGTCGCTTAATGTACCTAATATATGCAAAACCACTTAACCGAACTCAGCTTAATAATCAATTCTTACGCCAATAACAAACTGGTTGGCGAATGTATCCATTTTTTGTCATTATTTCGGCTTAGTTTACAACATTATCTTGCACTTTATATCTTTTAAACTCACACATTTTGTAGTACATTAGTGATCAGCTTAAATGTAAGCAAATTTAGAGTAAACGAACTACACACCTGTAAGCCTCACCAGAGTTGTAGTTAAAATATTGGAAAGAATAGTCAAACAGACCATAATGGCATTTATGGAAACCAATAACTTGCCAAAAATAGAACAACATGGTTTTAGAAAGGGTTTATCTTGTACAACGAACCTCCTTATAGCAAGGGAGTTTTGGATAAAGGCGCTAGACAACGAAAACTCAGTGGATGTTGTCTACACAGACTTCAGTAAGGCTTTTGACAAGGTGCCAACTAATAAACTGCTATTGAGGTTGGAAAACTTTTGTATTGCCGGACCTCTTTTAAAATGACTTCAGGATTTCCTAGTAGGTCGTAGACAGAAAGTAAGAATAAATTCCAAGTGCTCCATCTGGGGACCAGTACTTATTGGAGTACCTCAAGGTTCCGTCCTAGGTCTTTTACTTTTTATAATGTGTGTTGACGATCTTAAGACGACGGTACATTGCCAGGAGGTTGCAGGGGTTTCGAACCCTCTGAGCTTTAAAACGAACATTCACTAAGTTAGATACTACCATGTTCACCACAGTATACATATCCTTAGTTAGAACTAAGCTTGAGAACTGCGTTCAGGCCGCAAGCCTCTGTTTGAAAAGTGACCCGAATATCCTAGAAAAAACACAAAGGGCAGCTACCCGTGCAAATCCAGAACTCCAGGGTATACCATACAAAGAGTGGCTTGAAAAACTGGACCTCTTTACTCTGTCCTACCGCAGATTAAGGGGAGATCTAATTTTGACGTACAGAATACTGAGAAGTAATTTTGAACCTAACTTATTGCCTCTTCTTCTTCCCACTAGATTGGGACATCTCAGAGGACATAGCAGGCGAGTAGAAAAGCCAAGAACGAACAAACTACCCGTGGCATACAGGTTCTCAAACCGAGTCATCAACCTGCTGCCCTAAGCAGTGGTGTTCGCACCTTCAATTGACCCTTTCAAGAAAAGACCGGACACTGACAGAAGCATACTAGAAAAGGAATAACATAGGCCGTAGGCCTTCTGTCCTAACTACACAAATCTGAATCTGACTTCAGTTGTAATGTGACCTTTAAAATGGAAAGATTCGTTGAATATTTCGCTTGAAAGACATGATAATAGCAATTAAGTGTTTAAATCTGTTAAGCTACATGTAAACACTTAATTAAATGTTCAACTCAGACAATCTACATAAAATTTTGAAATGGTCTCGTAACTCACCAGAGCGTTTACTTCGATATCACTACCTGTAACAATTATTGGATCATTAACTGCTAAGTCCCTATAAAAAGTGAAGTTTCATGTTTTTTACTTACCTTGGGAGTTGAAGAGCAGAGACATTTACTAACTTAGAGGCAATGCTTTTCCGCAGTAATGTCACGTTCCACTCAGCTGGAATTTCTTCGGACGTTTGTTTACTATTTTTCGTGGATAGGAACTGGGAAATAATTATAAAACAATACTTTACCCTAAGAGTGGGAACTCCTTGTACTTTGAAACGATAACATAAATCCATATTAGTTTCATCTTCACAATCCACAGATCCGAGATGAAGTGCCCAATTCCAATCTTCAAATAATCAGTAAAGTCACTATAAGAAGAATGAATATTGAGTTACTCTTTACAGAGCGGCAGAATTGTGAAAAAGGTTTAGAGTATTTTATACAGTGTCCACAAGTCTTGCGATAGAAAATCACGAGCCAGATTCCTTCCGATGTTTTGTCGAAATTTTCGGGATGCAGGACGGTAACACCTTCTATTTCGCTGTAGGCAAAACTGTGAACCGTTCGAAGAAGTATGTTCAAGATGAAAACGGTGACCAACATTACAGGCTTCAGAATCATATCAAAAAGTTATGAGTCAGACAGAAACACATCCACATTTCAAATCTGGCAATAATCGACTTTTGAGGTCAACTGTTCCAATAATACTATAGTTCAAAATGACTGTGATGATGATTTACAAAAAGACTGAAAGTTCCCCTATTCGTCTAACTCAAGTAAAGAGTAACATTCAATAAAAAACAGGTAATATGGATTGAAAGAATACATGGGGTTTACTTTGAACATTTTCAAATTTCCAACCCTAAAATACTAAATAATGGAGGTCTCCTAATGATAGTAAAGATGCCATGCATATTTTGAAATTGAGAGCAGCTTTCCCTGTAACACCCTTTCAGGCAAAAGAATACGAGCCTAGTCATATCAGAAACCAGGAATGAAGGATTTCGTAGATATATATGTCAGGTTATCGATATGTTGAGATACTTTTGATCTAAGCTAGACGGTAGTTACAAGGGATGTGAAGCACGACGACCGAGTATCTTCAGCCAGGTCGTATCCAATAAAACCAATGAATTCTGCACCAATATCTAAGACTTACAGAATTTTATTTTGCGGATTTATTTACCTCTACAATTAAATATAAGAGGCCAAGCATATAAATTTATGATAGCGTTTCACTAGTAACGTCCACAGACTGTAGAATAAATTGGGGGAAAAGATTATGCAGTCCTCCTTCGATTCAATCAAAACCAAAGCCTGAATGGCACTCAGGAATAATTTGGACGCTTTCGCCGTTTCTTTTTAGTGAGTATCGATCATTAATAGATCACTCACACTTTGAAAGTCTCAGTTTTCCATCACCTAGGTTTACAATTATACATTTCTGCTGTTTGATCATAGTCAACCTTCTTTGATGTTCATTAAATGTGCTATATCCGGTATTTTCGATGTTTTCGTTTGTTTAGTGATTCAGTACTGTTTATCAACATAACGTTTGCTGGAAACATCGTTTCAATCTTCTTAGGTACTCTGGTTGTTTCTTATATGAACAGGAATCTGCAGCGTATCCAATGTTACTGTAGCAGAAAACAAATAGATTGAAAGTTTGAGCTCGAAATCAAAAGATCGGTAAAAAGTCATGTCCTTTTATGCAGCATCCACTCACTAAATGAGAGGGAAAATGTTGTATAGTTCATTTGTAGTGGCATTGGACAATAGCCACACAATCCACAAAGCTGTGAACACGAGACTACTCAGAAAATAGATATTCAATATTTAACGCGGAGAAATACCTAACAATGAAGAAGGCGCGAACAATGAATTGAATGGACTGGAGTTGATCGAGTGGCATGGCTCGGCCATGCAGGCGTGGTCTCTATTCATATTAAATATATTGTTCCTTCTCTAAACTAAGCTGGTTCTTCATCATGTATTGGTAATTGATACGATACAGTGAGTTGGCGTAGTCGATGGTGTGACTTCCACGTAAGATCTTATAGATTAGGCAGTTATATCATGACGAATCTACAAATTTAGGATTAGGTCTATTATTAGAGCAGTACTAATATCATAGTAGACTATAATTCTACATTGGTGAGCCCAACTAAAGAAACGCAACCTATTATTATTAATCCTTATTTCCACTTCAACTTTCTCGATCGATTTTATATTTATGTTAACACTGTATTCTAATAGTCCTCTGATTAATGCTCACATGCATTATCGTAATGTTATATTGATTAGTCCTCATGACAAACTAGCTCAATCGATAATAAAAACTGGTCGTCTATATTAACTAATTAGCTTTGATGATTTGTTAACAAGCTGTAATAGCATTTACATGCTTCAGCGACATAGTCTTGTTTAAACATCAAGCTCTAGCAAATATGACCTGTAAATAGCGTAAATATACATTGACTAACAATGCGATCAAGGACTAAATAGTTATCTGGATCTAATTCTCAGTGTTCCTTCACTCAACACCTCATCCTGTTTTAAACGATGCACTATCCTGTAATATCTTTTCTTCCGACCACTGCCTGCCTAATTTCATATTCTCGAGTTCCATTGCCAAACAACGAGGATGACACTTCTCCAAAAACATACGGTGAGTTTCAGCTATAAGTTTTCTGCAATCATAAGTTCATTTTAGATGGTTCGTTCAATGACAACCATACAATTATCTGGATTTATTCGATTGTTCTGATCCGAGCGAGTGTCAAAAACCTCAACAGCATCAAGCACCCTGGAATTAATTGCCATATTGCATGTTTTATTCTGGATGCTTTTGGATCAATACTACTCACGAATGGCGTTATATATGTCGTCCACTGAATAATCTAATTTTCAAAAATAATCAAGGCGAGTTCAACTATTTTACTGGATGATTTTTTTTTGTACTTAAGATGTATATGTTTTCCAGTTGCTTTTGCCATATATTTGTAAGTGTCACTAAGCTAAATGCAGTAACTTCTTATGGAAGGTTTATAACGCATCATATTCCTGCCTGAAATTTCACCAGCAGTCTTAACTTTAAAATTATTTATCTGGTCATGTTCATTGTTTTTAAATTTTTATATACGTCAACAACCTGCATGTTAACCTGGCCCGTACATATGTTTTACTATATCTTCATATCTTTTGAATTTAGAAATCATCTGAATCGCCTTTAACATTTATCAATAAACCCATCATAGTCGTTGTTGCTAATCGTATTTGGGTTTATGGATTGGTGTATCATATTAGCAGCCTAAAATGCGAACATAGTTTAGATAATGAGATTGAAAATTTAGGTACTATCAACTGCACTAGTAAAATAACTAGATCCTCAGGTAGCTGTTGGCTAAACAAACGTTTCAAATCAAAACTCCGTAGCCTACTAGAATTAACACTAAACGAATATTTCTGAATTGGAATTTATAATTAAATTAGGCGTCTTGGATTCTTTGACGTTACAAATTCCTGACAATCTCGAATCACCTAAAGCAACAATATCTATTTTTCCACTGACTAATCCTCATTCAACACTATAACTAGTTAAACATAATAGTTTCAGGATATCGTCATAAAGCATTGTCATGACTTGACAATCACGTAATATGATTGATAAAATTAATGAAACTATTAACAAAATCGGTCAGCAAATTGACTTATTATCACTAGTGTTGTTTTTCTTTTATCTTCATTCACTACGGATGATTACAGTATGTTTCTCTATCAGTTGCTCATTCAGTAAATATCTCAAAACCTTGTCAGTCTAATTGATGGTTTAGCGACACAATCATGCATGCAAATAATCAGTATAAGCAGTCGAGCAAATCTCCTGCAAACTGAAAACATCAATGTCGAATTTACCCCAACACTGACTAAGGTTCAAGCCATTATCATAGACATGAGTTGGGAGTGTACTCCCCTTGGTTACAACTTGTGTTCTTCCTGATAATCACATGAGCATCACTCACTGTTAATCATCTTGTAAAAGCTTATTTAGCCGAATACATCCTGCGGCACCACATCACTTCGTAATATGACACAGGCCTAACTGATTTTAATAACCTATAACCACTATATCTCAATTTAATCTTATTCCGCCTTATGATAAACTGCATACTTGCAACTAACTTGTATGCCCAATCAGCCAGCAAGTATAAATATAAATAAATAGTCTATTGCAGATCAGAACATTGAGTCCAGAGCATGTCTCTTACGAACACACTCATGTTTAGCGATTTGTTCCTAGCTATCTGTCCAAAATTCATATAATTATCACTCACGTATTTAAATTTTATTTTGATAACCATTCATGTGTATTGGTAGTATTACTAAATTCTATCACGGTCAAGTAAAAATGAAGTTGAGAAAATCTCCCCGTAACTAAATAAACCGTATCAAACTAACTGGAACACTAGTTGGAATTCTTTTCCATGGTAATACTTTTGTTCTCCTAGTTAGCCTACTAATACAGATGCAATTGGAAATCACATATGGACGGGTTACCGGCATAATTGTTAATTCGTTTCATAATTTAAACCAAAACTAATACCAATATTAACATTTCTACAATATTCATTACTTTAATATTTCTAAACACAAAATACTTACTACCTATACGTCAAGTTATTAACCAACGGCTATTAACACGCATTGTTTTATTATTATTACTGTAATCCCATTTTTTTTATAGCTCAAATAATCTTCACCCAAATTGTCATTTTAAGTGTGTTAAGCATGAAGGCAGATTTTTTTTAAAAAAAATTATTACATGTATTTCCCGACCAGATGCTGCCGCCTTCTTTTTGATTTATCTTTCAGCTTATCATTACCCGGGGGATTCTTCCTAGTCTTGGTAACCTTCGGCGCACGACGATCCCATCCAATTTGGTATCGAACCAACATCACGTTGATTCTGGTGGGAGAGTAGTGTAGTGGCATTGGACAATAGCCACACAATCCACAAAGCTGTGAACACGAGACTACTCAGAAAATAGATATTCAATATTTAACGCGGAGAAATACCTAACAATGAAGAAGGCGCGAACAATGAATTGAATGGACTGGAGTTGATCGAGTGGCATGGCTCGGCCATGCAGGCGTGGTCTCTATTCATATTAAATATATTGTTCCTTCTCTAAACTAAGCTGGTTCTTCATCATGTATTGGTAATTGATACGATACAGTGAGTTGGCGTAGTCGATGGTGTGACTTCCACGTAAGATCTTATAGATTAGGCAGTTATATCATGACGAATCTACAAATTTAGGATTAGGTCTATTATTAGAGCAGTACTAATATCATAGTAGACTATAATTCTACACATTCATGTTCGTCGTCGAAAAGAATATTCACTACAAGTCCAAAGACGCTTATTTTATCTATGTACGTCCACCCCTTTGATGACAGCAGTTGTTAGCATCCTAATTTGACGACGAATATCCATACGTGTATGTCATTATTTAAGCTAATGTCATATTTCCTGGCAATTACACACGAATGTTTTGTATCCATATCTGGCATTCTTTGGAATCGCTTTCTTTATGGTCATTATTGCAGATATATGTTTAGACTTGTGAGTACTCACACTTCTGACTACAACAAGCAACTCAGGTTTTCTTTATATTTGCTTCGGTGTTCTTTCAGCTCATTTTTCTATCCTTCCTTCTGTATGTATCTCCCGGGTTTTATTAGTCTATCACATCAAATTTAATTGGTCCAGATATGGTTTCGGAGATTTTGCAGGAAATGGTAGCGAAAAACTCGAATAAATGGACCCTGCGAATAACAGACCACTAGTGACATTTTGGGCTTTTGGTAAAATTAACGAAATAGTTGATGAGTACACAGAAAATGGACAGTGACAGAAACGACATAAATGATCACTCATTTTTCTTCATTACGTGTATCAAGACTGAGCGAAGAGTACAGACTATTGAAGG